GGTGGATCAGATGCAGATGTGAGGGCGCGAATCGGCAAAGCAAGAGCAGCGTATCTACTGTTGAGGAACATCTGGAACTCAAAACAATTGTCAATCAACACCAAGATCAGAATTCTCGATACAAATGTCAACACAGTTCTACAGTATGGGGCGGAAACTTGCAGAACTACGAAGGCCACCACCCATAAGATACAAGTGTTTATTAACACTTGTCTGCGCAGAATACTTCGGATCCGTTGACCAGACACTATCAACAACAACCTACTCTGAGAGAGAAAAAACAGATACCAGCGGAGGAAGAAATCAGTGAAAAGCGCTGGAAGTGGATAGGACATACATTGAGGAAAGCCTACAACTGCGTCACAAGGCAAGCCCCCACATGGAATCTTCAGGGCCAAAGAAGAAGAGGAAGACCAAAGAACACATTACACCGAGCAATGGAAACAGATATGAGGAGAACGAATAACAACTGAATCGGACTTGAAACGAAGGCCCAGAACAGAGTGGGTTGGAGAATACTAGTTGGCGGCTTATGCTCCATTTGGAGTAACAGGATTATGTAAGCAAGTAATAGTCCATAAATAAGTCCTAGCAGTTACCATTCATTTATTCTTCGTTTTGATATGGCAACCACACCTTTTTAAAAACCCATTTCGTTAGAATTCTTGCTCTGATTTGATAGAGAATCGTGTAAAGTACATTACTCATGGTTTACTAAACAAGAATACTATGCTCACCAATAATTAATCACCTTAAATTACTCTTTATTTCATCAATTACATCTATTCACTATGACTTCTATACACTTAGTCTATTCAAATGTACAACCAAATTGTCTTTTTATGAGATCTGATACTAAAAAAACTGATTCATACTTGAGAACTTTAATGACTTTCATTATAAATTATTATCTGGAAATGTTTAGTAAATAATTCATCCAAATGTCATAGATCCAATTCATAATAAAATTACTTTGAAATGATGACAGTAATAGGAATGCTTCTCATGTTAGCATTCCTTGAGTAATGTTGCTCTATAATGTGTCTACTAACAACAAATTAAGTAGATGAAAAAATATAATAAAATAAACTGACCTAAAGCATCAGTTAGTGAATTAAATTATCACGAACCAAAAGGATATAAGAAATTTTTTTGTTAGAAGTTAGAATTTCCCTGCTGATAACACTTCTAACTAAGCTGACTAGCTCATATTGACATTATAACTTGCTAAACAGATGTCTTGTTGTCATATAAACCAACTCCAGGTTGAATGATAGGTACATTTTTATTGTGAAGTTCAGTCAAGTTAACCAAATGAGTAAATTGAAATCGAGGGAGATGACTGTGAACCTGCATCATAATAACCATGGAACAGTTGAATTTTGTTTAGTGTCTAGAAGCAGAATTTAAGATTCACAAATTTATTATATCTAAAATCCGCTAAAATGTAAATTCATATACCTAAAAACTAAAGCTTATTATGATTCACTGGAGTCATTAATGACACATAGGATGTTTGGAATGATACACTAATATTAAAATCCAAGCACAACCAGTTGACGATTTTAAAGTGGAACAAAATAAGTGCTGTTTACTCCATCCGTAACCCCTTCTCAGTGTTGAAAATATTTTTATAGGTTGATCTTCCAATTAATTTGTCATGTGTCAATCTCTTAATTCATCTGCATGGAGATATTTAATGCGGCTGTTATTGGCAGAACCGGGTGTTATAATTGTCTATTGAATAAAACGTTTCCCATTACGGAATGACTTAGGTCAGACAAACTATGAAAACCAAACAGCAATGGAAAGCTTTTTTATCCCAGCATAATGCTCCTCAGTCGTATGCATCCATGATCATACATGGGATCGAACCCAGGATTTTCACGTTTTTCTTGATCTGAACTTCATACCCTCAAGGCGACACACTCTCTCATGATATTATGTGTTAGATGGTTGAAGACAATAAATGGAATTATGAGTTTCACTTGGGTCTTGTAATTATCTGCACTCATTAGCGATACATAGTAGGAAATTAGAGGAATCTAATTCATCATTAAGACTGCGTGACTTGCATCCATTCTTTGTATTTGCTTACAACTTCTTTATACCTTGCTTTTTTTGTCCACATCCAGTCTTAACTACAACCGATTTTGTCATTGTTTATATTACTCTAGGATTTCCCCTGAATTAATTTATCTCCCTATCCTAATTTGGTATGGCAACTTCAACCAATGCACATATGTGTCAAGTTCTACGTGAAATCTGACTGATTGATTTATGGTGAAGAGGGAAAATACAATGATACAACATTTATTGTCTTATAGCTTCTTGTTATATTACAAAATTACATTTATAGCAAAGTTTTAAGAATCCAGTTATATAAAGATAATTTAACAATAATCGGGTTGAAATTGTAAAATCCTTGAATTCGTGCTATTTGTTGAAACTAATACTAAGTTCTTCATCTCCAGAAGCTATCTACCATCAAACTTAGGGTAACACCATTTCCAACTACTTAGTTCAGTGTCAAAGTTGATTCATAAAATTTGCTCAACATTTACTTTTAAGCAATATTGTGGTGTGGGTTACTGATATTCACATAAGTAGTATATGGTGATGGTCGGGCATTGAATGTATTTCAGTAGAAGATGGATAAGCAAAGAACGGGAACGAAACGCGATTGATATGAAAATGCATGAACAATAATAATCAAAGACGATGGACTGATATTTGCAGAAGGATAAGTTAAGATTGAGACAATTGATTGAAAGTTTGCTGTATGGTTGTCAGATTTTAGTGAGATATTCTGTAATTTCGTGTTCAAATATATTTGATTGTCCACACTGATGTTCTTGTTCACTACAATACCACATTAGTTCCCACTGAGGTGGGTGATCAGTATCATGATCTCAAGTTGACCATAAACTACAAACTGAATAATTTTTCTTACGAGTATTCATACGGTACGTAATTTGGCTTTGTCCATATTTAACAAGTTATTATTAATTCATTGTTTATCGACAAATTCAATTTGTTTGTAGAGTTTTCAAACATTGAATAAATAATCACTATCCAGTTGAGCTTGTTCAACTAAATCAGCAGTCTTATTTCCTTACTTTGATAAGTCTTGTGTCTGAACGTTTAGACTTTGACTTCCTGATGCCATCAGCTAGACATATATTCTTGAATCCTGAACAGAAAACACTAAGTAGAAAGTTTAGAAAATGTTCTACTTTTAAGAATAGAATGTGTTCAAAATATGAGAATATTGACAGGATTGTATGTAAACCCTTAAACTCCAGCAGTATACAGAAAACATGATGAAATTGATGGGAAAGTCGATGAATCTCTAATCAACATGAGGTGAATATACAACTAATCATTCCCCAGATTTCACTTGGAAGCTTCTAAAGAGTGATGATTGGTCAACAATACTCATGACTTCTAGGGACGTTTTTGAAAAATTGTGCTGGGCTCTTAACATGCATACTATTTTCTATCATCCTTTCAAGGTGGCTCCAATTATTGCTGACCATCTCCATTCCTCAATATAGAGGATTTGTGGAGATTATTGAGCGTTGTCAATATTACGTACCAACCAAAGTTAAAGATGCATAATACATTGAACTGATGTGGCCATTAGTCTAAACAACTCAACGGTGTATCATGCTTTTTATGTTAAGGGGTTAAGAGCAGTTGGAAGAAAACCGTAAACCTAAAGTTTATACTACTCAACACTTGTCAACCAGGAATACATAAAATCTTGAAAGAACTGATCTACAATCAATTTATATAAGTATCTCAATCCTATAGGTTGTCAATCGCAGCCCAAGGACAGAAACCTGAATTGTTCAATGGTTATCTTTCAAACTATAAATCTGGGTAACGTGGTTTCGAGCCCACTCAATATTGCAGGTAAGTTTAGCTAACAAGTTCCACTTACTAACATGAAATTAAGCTCTGGGGTTTCCTACAAATTACTTTCAATCACCTATAGTCTTGATATATTCCTTGTATTTATAAGCTTATTAAATTTTTAAGTAGTGTAGAAGAGTATATGCACTTCATTTTATTTTGACTTGATCATATATCATACCGGTTGGATAAATTGTCGTTTGTTTGCACTCAATAACCATGTGGATAATTCTTCCTTATTTGAATCAGTGAATACTAAGTTTGAATCTAAGTAGACATTAACACCGTTGGATGCCGGATCAGTGGTCTAGTGATTAAGCGCTCTGGAGCGAGACTGGTAGATCCTGGGTTTGAATCTCACGAGGTGGGATCGTGGATGCTCACTGCCACTAAGGAGTCTCATAATAGGACAAAACGACCGTCTAGTGCTTCCAGGTTTTCCATGTTGGTCTAGCTTCAATTGACTCATGATCTCAACTGTATACTTAGTATAAAAATCAAAACGGACGTATACAGGTGACAAATTCCAATCAATATGAAATAAATATTCTCGACAGGAATTTTTTCTCTATTCTAAAACACAAATATCTTATTAAATAAACTTCAAAACAGAAGATAATCTCTATAGAGTTTTTTCTCTGAGCTGAATGGTTTGGTCGTGGAGCTATCATCGTCCTTCTGAACGACATCATCAGCATAAACTTCGGATAGAAGACAATTCCTCAGTTGAAAATAAAGCATACATCATCGCATACACTATTTCAATAATTTCTCTACAATAGTTTCACATATCTCTTACATAATAAATGTGACATTAACACCATCGGATGTCGGATTAGTAGTTTAGTGGTTAAGCGCTCTGGCGCGAGATTGGTAGGTCCTGGGTTGGAATCTCCCGATGCGGGATCGTGGATGCGCACTGCCACCGAAAAGTCTCACATTAGAACGAAACTGCCGTCAACTGCTTCCAGGTTTTCCATGGTGGTCCATCTCCAATCAACTTATGATTTCAACTATGAGAAATACTGAAATCTCCACAAAACCCCTTCCCAAACAATAGAACGAAACCATTGAACATTGAAATTGTATTCAATGTTCGTTTACAGTATGTTTAAACAAGTAGATTTTTATTAAGAGAAATAAATAAAAAGAAATTATAAACATATTCAATCAAACTAATAAATATCACAATCACTTTAAATGTATCTACTGTTTATCTACTAAAACCAATTTATAGTTTATTATCATTTGTTGACAACCATGCACCTTCCATACGCCATGCTGAAAATGCATAACTTAGACCTTGATTTGGATAAATGGATGTTGTTGTTGTTGTTGTTGTTGTTGTTGTTGTTGTTGTTGTTGTTGTTGTTGTTGTTGTTGTTGTTGTCATCGTGACCATCGTCGATGTCTTCATTGTTGCTGATGTTGTTATCTCTGATGTTATAAATGATTGTGATGTCGTCGATGATGGTGATGATGATGAGAATCTATTCAAATAATCTAAATCATTTAATAAAAATCTGTATTTATTATTCATATTAGTACAAATACTAGTATTTGTATTATTTTCATTACAACATATTGTTATCTCTGATGTAGAGTTTGAAGATGTTGACGACAATGGGGAACATGACGACGATGATGACGATGGGGATATTGATGACGGTGATGATGATGATGATGTTGATGATGAAGATGACAACTGACTATAATCATTCAAATCAATTTTACACATGAAATGATTTTTATTCTTCATAGAATATATTCCCAAATATTTACTTTCATCATCCTCACTACTATTATTACTATTAGTAGTAGTAGTAGTATATTGAAAATCAAGATGACACTGATTCATTTTGTTCAAGTTGTATTCATAATATGGTGTTAAACTTTTCAACTTTTCAATAGGATTATAATCAGTTGATAAGAATGATGATGGATCAATCATTTGGGTACTATTATTATGATTAGTAGTAGTAGTAGTAGTTAAACAAGAAATAGGATATTTACTTGTGATTGGATAGACATCATCCGAAAATTCACTCAATTGATTATTATTAGATGATGATATCACTCCTCCTGTAGTTCTTAATGATGATGATGATGTTGCGGATGATGATGGTGGTGGTGGTGTTGATGTCTCAAGTACTTGAGATAAAAAATCAATATATCTAAATAAAAAGAAGATAAAGGGAAATATTTTCTACATGTTACAAAAAAATGCTTCAGTAATACATCACTCAACTTAGGTCTTACTATTAATGGTAAGGTATCATCTAAGTTAAATACAGTGTGGCGTGGGTTACTGATATTCACATAAGTAGTATAAGGTGATGGTCGAGCATTGAATGTATTTCAGTAGAAGATCGATAAGGAGAGAACTGGAACAACACTCAATTGGTACGAAAATGCATGAACAATTATAATCGAAGATGATGGACTGATATTTGCAGAAGGAACAGTCAAGTTTGAGACAATTGATTGATATTCACTTAGTATTAGGACTAACCAGTTGCAGCCCTAAAACATCAATGCGAAGATTCAAACAAATAATACTAAGTGAATTTAAACTTCACCTCATCGCAAAAGCTAGTGGCTATCAGGACTCAGTGGCCGAGTGGATAACGCGATGGCATTTGAAGCGAGGGTACTGGGTTCGAGTTCCATAGTGAACAGCAACTCTGAGATACAGGTACATCCAGCTGACGAGTCTCGAATAGGACGAAACGCGCGTCAAACTGGATTCCACTGCTAGCCATTATCCATCTTTGTTTACAATAAAATTGGTAGTTTGCAAATTAACTGTTCACTATATGGTTCTCATATTTTAATGAGATATTCTGTAATGTTGTGCTAAAATAAATTCGATTGTCCCCACCCTTGTTCTTGTTTACTACAACAGTAGTGGAATTGAGCTTAGATACTTTTACAATTTTTCCCTCATATAATAGGTCTCGAAAGAGATCTCCAAATCTCAACATCTCACAGGTTGCATAATTCGTAACCTCTGTGATAACAAGTCACGCTTTTTGATGTATAAAGTATTTGTTTGACCAATTCTATAATACTGCATACAGGATAAATTAAAGTAGGGATCCGTTCAGACACCATTTACGCTTCATATTCTTGGGAGTAACTGTAACCTAAATTATAGGTGTAGATGTAATAAACTTGAACTGGATTCTTTATGGAAGAGAAGACTCTGACTAAATCTAATTTTTCTTTTCAAAATATTTAACAAAAACTATCTTTTACATCCAATTAAGTCATTCAATATTGCAGAAACTCCTAGTTATAGTATCCCTAACTCCTTGTCATTAGTGAAACAATTACCTTCCTAATCTTCTCTCCATATGAATTACTTTAGTAGTAAATTATTCCAGAGTCTGGAATAATTTACTACAATCTATCCGTCAAATGAAATCACTCCCATCCTTTGTTCGCTGTATCAATGCTTACTTCTCCACTGAAAATACTTTAAATGTGCTTACACATGTTAGTGTATCTTATTCCACAAGTGAGATTATAGGAACTTTAAGTTATCCTCGCTACTAGCTATTACTTTATACAAACACAGTCCCTGGATATCTAACACAAAAGTAGATCATAAAATGACCGGTCACATACATTTCAGTAAATGTGACTGATCTATCGTAATAATTATTAACTACTTTGTTCTATGCTCTCAGCTTCCGTTTTACTTTCTCTAGTTATAGATGATTATCATCAACCAATTATGGGTCAGGTAATGGCCTTAAATGCACCGTTCATATATCAACAAGATGTTCAATTAAACGGAGTTAAAAGTTCCCGTCTGACGATCTTCATTATTGTAATACTGAAGTTTGAGACAATTGATTGTTATTTTACAAATTAACTGTTTGCTGTATAGTTATCAGATCTTAGTAAGATAGTTTGTAATTTGTGTTTAAATACATTCGATTGTCCCCACCCGTGATCTGTTCACTACATTTGGTGTCTCTGCCAATCAGGAGGGGGAAGGGTGCTGTTCTGTGGACGCCGCTGCGGGTCTGGAGTTGAGGTGTCAGTTAGGGCGGTCTGGTGCGGAGAGGTGACGTCGAGTGGCATATCCTGGCGGGGCGGCGTTGGCTGCAGCAGGAGCTGTCGACGGAGAGGAGCAGTGGGATGTGCGTCTGCTGGGTGAACATCGGATGTAGACGGCACGGCAGGCTGGTGCAGTACGGGTGTTGAACGTCCTAGGTCCCGGGTGGATGTCGGATGTTGGTGCGCCGGCAGGTCGACGGAGCTATGGAGGTCAGCGCGACTCGACATTCTGACGGAGATTGTGGTACAGACTGCAGTAAAAGAAGATAGCGTTCATGGCAAGCAGGACCACCTCATGAACGAATGCTTTAAAGGGGGGGGACGAGTGTGGTGTGGTCTACTTATATCCTCATAAGTAGTATATGGTGATGGTCAGACAGAATGTATTTTGGCAGAAGACCGATAAGGAAAGAACTGAAATGAAGCGCAATTGGTAGGAAAATGAACGAACAATGAAATTAGAGAGGATGGATTGATATTTACTGAAGGAACAGTGAAGATTGAGACAACTGATTGTTATTTTACTGTTTGCTTTATGGTTATCAGATCTTTGTAAGATAGTTTGTAATTTGTGCTTAAATACATTCGATTATCCCCACCCATGTTCTGTTCACTATAATACGACTGAAAAATATGCTACCTAAACAATTTTTGAACTAGGAAACTTAAAACAGCGTTACGTCACATATCCATCATCTACACTTAACATTATTATCTATATCAAACTGATCATGCTTGTAAACTGGTATGAATTCTGTAATCATTATTTCCAGAATATATTATATTATTATATCATTATTATTACTATTATAATTGCTATGCTTGTTTAGAAGATAGTTACGCGGTGTAATGAATAGGCTGATGTCCGAAATATTAACATTAGGTTAAGTACTCACAGTGAAACCTGGAGGCTCTATGTCCTACCTTTAATGCGGCTATCTATATGCTCTGATGAAATGTTTCATACAGAGATAAAACAGTTATCCAGTGCTTCATGGTTGTCAGCGGTTTTCTAGTTTAGGGTAATTCGTTATATTAACTCTAAAAATTTGTTCATCAATCAATTTGTCTTTGAAAACCATTATCAATCTGCAAAGAGATTGCGTAATATTACTTCATATAGAATAGATGAAATAGATGGCAAGTGATAGAATCCAGTACTTGTATTTCTTCCTAATCGGGACTCGTGAACTGGATGTACTTGAATGCTAGAGTTGATGTTTACTCTGGAATTTGAACCAATTACCTTTCATTTTAAATGCTCAATGCGGTATCCACCTAACCGCTGAGTACATATAGTCACTCACTTGTTTATGGCCAACTGGCATGAATTGTAATTTGGATTAATAAAACTAATTGGAATTCAGTTAAATCATCAACAACGAAATAATTCAAACCACTAAAAATTAAATCAAAATTCTTACCCATCGAGCAAATGAATGGTTAGCAGTGTTCAGTAGCTAAATGAATAATACGTTAGGATAAAGCGTGAAATACCGGATTCGAATCTCAAGCTGAACATCGATTCGGATGTAGATTTATCCAGCTAAAAAGTCCTAAATATAATAAAACATGAGTTCCGGATCCCACTATTACCTATGCACTAAATACTGTATACAAGTCTATATTATAGTAACTATATCGAGGCAATCGACTCATGATACATACATATTGTCATAACAAAGAATTGACTTACCGAGTAGCTAATTTAAGTGTTTGTATTTTACTTAATTTATCTGATGGTAATGTTGGTATAATACGACGTAATTCAGAAAATGCTTGATTCAATGATTGAGTACGTTGTCTTTCACGAACATTAGCTAAAAATCGTTGAGTTTGTAATTCTTCTGATGTAGTAGATTTTAATAAATTTACAGCACTAATATTATTAATATTTAATGCATTCTGATAAGTATCATAATCAGTTTTGTATAAACTTTTAAAATTACCATTATTATTTGGAAGTTTAAATGATTCATTTGATTTAATAGTTGATTTAGTGTTTGTTTTGACATTCCTTGAATGTTGAACTGAATTCGATTCTGACTGAGTATGATCTAAGAACCATTTAAGAAATATGAAAGAAAAACAAATAATAAAATGATTTAATATAGTTGAGATCATGAGTCAATTGAAGCTAAACAACCATGGAAAATCTAGAAGCACTGGATGATCGTTTCATCCTATTGTGGGACTCTTTAGCAATGCTTTGACTCTAGACTATTAGATCCTGGGTTCAAATCTCACTAGGCCGGATAATCGATGCACACTTCTAAGGAATCCACTACTAGGATGAAATGGCCATCCAATACTTCCAGGTTTTCCATGATTGTCTAAATTCTATTGACTCATGAATTCAACTATAATTCAGATCAATTTAAACAAACAACAAAATTTGAACTAAATTTAAACTACTGTATATAAATATATTTATAGCATTCGATCAGCACTAAGAAGGACCTGACACGCATGAGATTGATCATCACCCAGTGATCAATCAATTGTGATTGCATCTCAGTCCTACAGGAGGTTGGTCGCGGCCCGAATAGCTCAGTGGTAACGTCTCTGACTGTGAAGCTGAGTGACGCGGGATCGAATCCGCCAGGGAGCATCCGTTCCCTCAGGATTACAGGTACACCTTGCTGACGAGTGTCAAGTAGCACGAAACCCGTGTCCAGGGTTTCCTGTTGACCACCTCCAACCACCATCTTACCTCAATATACATAGTGCAAGCATTGTCGAGCCACTTAGACTGGTGGTCACATTGCAACTCGATCGATAGTATTCAATCAGCACTAAGAAGGACCTGACACTCACGAGATTGATCACCACCCAGTGATCAATCAATTGTTATTATAAACTTATTTGTTAACATGAGGCAATAATGATAAAGCAAATCTTATCAATTGAAATCAGAAACAATGTCCACCATTATTATTATTATTATCACCATGTCCACATATGAAACGGTTAGAAAACAAACAAACAAACAAACAACAGACATCTCCATGATAACTGAAATCTAATCATTCGTTTTAAAACAAAATAATAATTATTTAACATATGGTTTCTTTTTTTTTTAAATCAAATTTTTTTCACTAACAGATGTAATTAATTGGAAAGTTCATTTGTAATCCAGTAGTAGAAATAGATAAAAATGGACGAGACTATAATTTATGAATAAGTCAATCAGGAGCGTTTGAAGGATTTCAAGGCTACGGCATCAATTTCAGTACTTGATACTTATGTACAATCGGTTTACAAAGGATTTTAGAGAAAACTTAACAATTAAGCGTCTACAATAAATGGGACTACTAAAAAGTTCATTTATTTGTAATTACGGTAATCAAATGACTTGTAGATTTTGTGTAGACTACCATGATGTTGTCCCTAAATGTAACATATATTGAATGATGACGTTTACTAGAATAGGAATTCTTTGCGCTCGATCCAGATTGAAATTAAGGTATATTATAATAATTGTCGTGAACTGTATAATAAAAGCACCAGTAACATTAGCTGCAGTAATCGCAGATATTACTGAAACTTCAGCTGTATGGTAGGGACATATACATAATAAAAATGATAAACTTACACAACCGGACTACACGCAAATAATATTGAAGTTATGTGATCGAGGCTGAGAGAGTTTTTGCGATCTTATCATGAAAATAGAGATCGACTATTATGGAGCCATATGGATGAGTTCCTCTACCTTATGCATTATGATCTTAGAACCTTTGAACCCCTTTCTAATCTTGACAAGTTTTTGAACCATATAAAAGAAGTGTATCCACTTTAATTCTTTGGTTTTGCATAATACATTCTTACTCTATACTGGCTGTTTACTGATTGTCTAATATTTCTCAACTTTACTTAACATTCGTTCAAAGGTCGTCCACAAATTATACTCTCGTCAATAAATGTTAAAAGTCGATCATCAATTCTTACTCATCTCATATGGAGACGTACTTAAAATATTCAAATCTTGTAATAATGTGATGCCTGCTACTAATATCGACAAATATAAGTAGTATGTGACATTAATCAGAAGTGGAATGCTTGGCAGTAGAAGGTTGAGGAATTCAAATTGAAGTGAATAAGAATGTAAACTGAAACCAATTGTTATAACAACAGGAATGAAGGAACCAGAGGTTTGTAACAGACTACTGATGAAAGATGTACAAATAATGTATTTCATGAATGGTTTTCATATTTTATGTAAGTATTCTGTAATTTTGTGATAAATAGTAAATTGATGTTCCCCACCTGAGTGTTTGTTTACTAAAGTAAGTATACAAAACTATAAGGCAACTAATTGAAGCCCTATGGTCTATGGTTTAAATTTTGGTCAATCCACGATTTTTGAGTGACGAATATGAAATATCATCAATGATATCTGTGGAATTTTCTAACATATTCATATATGATCGGTTATGATTTCTCACTGAAACTGTGGAAATTATTTTTGTAACCAGTCACTAGTTTGTTCATGATTATTATAATTAAGATGGAAAATGATGGAGATTATCTGATTATTAGAATCATAGTAGTTCAGTGTTAAAGATTCTCAAATTAGTATGACATTGAAATTTACTTAATATTGTTTGTTCGGATATTCCTATCGATGTTTTTAGGACTGCAACTGGTCAGTCTCTAATTGGCATATGTGCGCACTATGCGTATTGCCTCGATATAGCCTAAATTCACAAGCATGGAAAGCAAAGATGGATAGTGGCCAGCAGTGGAATCCAGTTTGACGCGCGTTTCGTCCTATTTGGGACTTGTCAGCTGGATGTACCTGAATCTCACAGTTGATGTTCACTGTGGAACTCGAACCCAGTACCTTTCGCTTCAAACGCCATCACGTTATCCACTCGGCTACTGATTCCTGATGGGAAGATTCAAACAAATAATACTAATTACATTTCAATTTCACCCCATCGCACAAGCAAGTGGCTATTAGGACTCAGTGGCCGAGTGGATAACGTGATGGCATTCGAAGCGAAAGTTACTGGGTTCGAGTTCCACAGTGAACATAAACTGTGAGATGCAGGTACATCCAGCTGACAAGTCCCAAATAGGACGAAACGCGCTTCCCGGATTCCACTGCTAGCCACTATCCATATTTGCTTTGTATGACATTGTTGTTCAGTGCTTTAACGGCTTTTCACACCTCTTTAGAAATTTGTGCTTCGATAGAAACGGTCTTAGTATAAAGGGGGTTTGAAGGGAATATAGAGTTTCTATAGTTTAAGTTACATGCCATTCTAAGTTAGATCACCATTGAAAATCTGGAAGCACTGAATCGAATCCAGGACCTACGATTCCGCGAGTGAATAATTGGCCTCTAGAATAGCAAAGTAAAATCAACTGAAGTAATCTGAATTCGATTAAAATCGGTTATTGAGTAAAATTTTGTGTAGATTATATTCTTAACAGATTGACCTCCGTTGATGCACCACTTAAAACCAGGAAACATTGGACGTCTATTCTATTCAAGTATGAGATTTCTCAGTATTTCAAACATACGATCTTGTCAAGGATCAAACTTTAGGCTTTCATGTTTTGTTAGGAACTATTAAAACCACTGGGTCGGTTGGTACCCAGTGATACACTTCTGACTTTAAACATTTTTTGATTGATTTTATACTAAAATTCAAATATCCCCTTACAATATTCAAGGTGAGATTGATCTCATATAGTGTTGTTGCTTTCCCAGAGAATCTTTTTTTTTCTTCTCACCAGACTGATTCACTTCATTTCGCGTTGTCACAATGTGCAGTAAATTACTTTAAGGCGATATATTCATATTTTAAATTATCGACTACTACAATCAATTACTGACTTCCAGATAATAAAAATAATATTGAAAACGTGTTATGTGCCTGAAACGTAATCAGATTGAAAACAAAAGCCTTGTTGATTGAGATTTTGTCTTCGTTGAATCATGTCAACAATGTTCTAGAAACCATATTTATCTTTTTTTAAAAATTAAAATCATGTTCATCAATTCTGTTGATAGTAAAGCAATTGCTAAACTATCAAGACAGTTTTAATTCATTTTTGTATTGGTTGTGGCTATCTGAACTCAGTAGGTAAGTGGATAACACGAAGCGAACGGTACTGGGTTCAAGTTCCAGAATGAACATTAACTCTGAGATGCAAGTACATCCAGCCGACGACTTCCAAATAAAACAAAGTGAGCGTCCTGGATTCCACTGTCAGCGACTATCCATATAAAGACAGATATTGATTTATGTTCAGTGTGATCTAATTAGTACACAAATTAATTATTTGTTAGCGTATATTTCTAACATTTATTCTTTACAATCGTTTGGACTGTCTTGATTTTATTCACAAATTCATCACTAAGATAGTTAATATACCTGTATCATTGATGCGACAGCTAGAAACATGGACACAAGTCTTTAAGCAACTCAACTTAAATTGATTTTTTTTTATTAGAATGGAGGTTTGTAGATATTGTAGTAATGTTAATAGTTGAATTCATAAGTCAATTTAAGATAGATCCTTATTGAAAACATAGAAGCACTAGAGGTCATTTTGTCCTAGTATGAGACTTCTCAGCGACGGCTATCCACGATCCCGCATGCAGGACTCAAACCTAAGACCTTAGGTCTCTTGTGCTAAAGTTATGTTAGTCACAAAGCAAACAGAATGAAAATCAAATCAATAACATTTTTATTTAACCAATAAGTCAGTATGTTATTTTGAATTTCATTTTTAATCATCATTTAAAATCAGAAGGGGGATTTGTGGAGACTTTAGTAATTTTGTAGTTGAATTCATTAGTCAATTGAAGCTAGACAACCATGGAAAACCTGGAAGCACCGGACGGCTGTTTCGTTCTATTGTGGGACTCCTCAGCAGTGTACATCGACGATCCCGCCTCGGGAGATTCCAACCCAGGACCTACCAGTCTCGCGCCAGAGCACTTAACCGATAGACCACTGAGCCGGCCGGCATCCGATGGTGTTAATGTCTAACTTCAACCAATCCACGAAGTTGATTAATAGTCTTTAATAAACAACCTATCCAACAAAAGATACTAATGAATATGTTTACAATAATTCTCTACAAGTTAATCTTCTCTAGACAAATATTCAACAATCAATTATGTATACGTTGTTTTCATTAACTAGTTCCTATCCACAATGAATAGTTATTTTACTTTTTTATAGATAGTTGAAATTATGAGTCAATTGAAGCTAGACCATCATGAAAAACCTGGAAGCACTGAACGGAAATTAGTCTTTATTATGACTTTCTATTTATTTGATATCTTTTATTTTGTTAAATCAGTGTTGTATGGGTTTGTATGGCTTATGATTTTCTAATATACTTTTTCCAGGAATAATTTACCTGATGACATTCATCATAGATTATCTTTGTGTTTTAATCACTTTTAAATATTATACATAGATGTTTTAGTCCTATAGGTAGTCAATTCTACATCCATCGTCAAGAAGGTACAAGTATTTATAAACAGTTGTCTACGCAAAATACTCAACATTCACTGACCGGATACTATCAGTAACAGCGTTTTATGGGAGAGGACAAATCAACTTCCAGCTGAAGAGGAAATTAGGAAAAGATGTTGGAAGTGGATAGGACATACATTGAGGAAATCACCTAACTGCATCACGAGGCAAGCACTAACTTGGAATCCGGAAGGGAAGCGGAAAATAGGAAGGCCTAAAAACACACTACGTCGGAAAATAGAATCAGACATGAAAAGGATGAATAACAACTGGAACGAACTGGAAAGGATTTCCCAGGACAGAGTTGGATGGAGAATACTGTTGTGTGGCCTATGCTCCTTGACGAGGGGTAACAGGTGTAAGTAAGTAATTATAGGTAGTCAATTACAGCCCAAATACCTCAATAATAACATTTAATACTTTAAAACTGGGTGATACGAATTCAAATCCCATTTATATTATCAATTCCTTTAAGATTGTAGGTATATTTCGCTAACAAACGCCAATTTGAATAAAACTTAGTTCCAGATCTCTTGATGATTTCTTCCAATCACCTGATAAATAAACAAATAAGTAATACTGAAGGCCAATGGTTCGAAATATACGGTGAATGTTAGTTTCTTCAATGTTGTAGATAAGACTAAGTAATATGTTCATTACGGCATGAAATATTGGTTCAGGGTATCATGCTAATTACACCTGTAATCAACGAATGTTAAAGAAAACAATACTAGGATCTCCAGTCACTTGAACTACTTGTTATATCCTAGTGAAGACATAAGTAAGGGTAACTCCCAGGACCTATTAATGAACTATTATTCTATATATATTCTTATTGTTTCACTATTGAGTAATCAGAATACATATATATATTCATCATATTATAAGCTTCCATTTGACCTATTAACTACTACTAGACGATTTACTATTAAGTTATTCCCAATTTATTAGTTACAGTATCTCACAATCAGAGCCACTTTTTGGAGTGATCTCGTATAATTGTTGGTTTCTATTTTATTGTGTGATTTGGTCTGATTTGTTTGTATATAAACCAAGTATGTATGAAATACATGACTCATATAGCGAAGGCTGATATTGGTGTTTTTAGACTCAATTGAAAGTGCTAGGCAGACAAGAGACCAATAAGGACGCTAGACTGCTCATACCGGTCGAACATCATTGATTTGGCACAATGTTAAAATTGAATAAATCATACTTCGATTGGTGAATAAATCACGTGATAAAAGCTGGACATAAGACCACAACCTTTATAGTTAATGATCCAAATCCAATCAATAGCACTTCATACCAGAAAACATTTGATCATGTATATCTAAGAATTTTTCTTTTAGCTATTATCATGGAAAGTTCCAATAGAATTTAAAATTATAAACACAATCAAACGCACAATTCAAACTCACTTTTATTTGAATCCATCAAATTCTCAATAACCTTAATTTTATCCAAATTTAAATAGGCCAATAATGCTGCTGATGATGATGATGTCGTCGTCGTCGTTGTCGTTGTTGAAGGTGATATCATTTTACCATTGGATGATGATAACATAAATGTATCAATTTCATCTTCCATATCAGTAGTTTTATTATTATAAGTAATAAATGTCATAGGATTAATAGTAGTATTATTATTAGTAGTAGTAGTAATATTCATTTGTAAACTATCAAATTGTTTACAATCAATAGATGAATATTTTGTTTCTATTAAAGTTGATAAATATTTTTGACTATCATTAAATTCATTCTCTACAATGTCATCTTCTTCATGATGATTATCTAACCAGAATGTTTGCTGCTGCTGCTGCTGTTGTTGGTGGTGGTAGTCGTGTTGGTGTTGTTGTTGTGACATTGTCAATTGTTCATTATTCCATGGATATAATGATGTCATTGATGATGAATCTGACCAAATGGATGAATTTCTAGGAAATGTATCCATATAGGTGATAGGGATACATGTAGTTCTTGATAAATGATATGAATAATCCCAAATATTATCAATAGGAGATATGAAATGATTTCTAATAACCGAATCATTCATAGTATCATAAGGGTATCTAATAGGATAATCAATTATTGAGATTTCATTATCCCATAATAAGGTATTAGTATCATTATTATTACCATTGATAATAGGTCTATTATAAACTTGTGACATTTTACTTTATTGTTTCTTTAACAATAACACCATTAAACTGATCAAGAATTAATTGACGTTAACAACAATCAGTTAAATAATAAAACACCTGAATATTAGATGCCCACCACCCACCAACCCACTCATACCTTCATTCATTTTCTTCATTTCTATGTTATGAAGAAATGAAATTAAGGGGGGTATAAATTGTAATTGTATGGTATAGAATATTCCTTAGGTGAAGAGTAGAAAGTCAGTAGAAAGGTGCACCAAAAACAATGTGCTTGTCTATTTTTTTTATAATTATTAACCAATAGAATATTTAGAAAATATTTATAAATTTACACTGCACAAAGTTAAAGGGGGGCAGTTGGAAATTATACAATTATAATTGTATAGAGAATTGTGTTATAGTAGATTGTGAAAAATGTAGATGTATTCAAGTATATTTGGTGTAAAATAACATTAAGCAATGACTGTAATTGGTGGTCAATACAATAACCAAAAAATAAAGGTAAGAAACAATAATGATTAATCCAATCACAAAATGATTTGATTCCACTGCTAGCCACTATCTATCTTTGCTTACCATGCTTGTGAATTAAGGCTATATAGAGGCAATACGCACAATATGCACATATGCCAATTAAAGACTGATCTATTGCAGTCCTAACAAATCAATGGGAAGATTCAAACAAACAATAATAAATGAATTTAAACTTTACCCCATCTCACAAGCAAGTGGCTATCAGGACTCAGTAGCTAAGTGGATAACGCGTAAGGTACTGGGTTCGAGTCCCAGAGTGAACATAAACCCTGAGATGAAGATGCATCCAGCTGACGAGTCCCAAATAGGACGAGACGCGCTTCCTGGATCCCACTGCTAGCCATCATCCATCTTTGCTTACAATGATTTGAAAATAGTTTTGTGTTCATTACAAATTGATATTAGTCTTATTGGAAATACCAGATAGTTCTAAGAGCTGATTTAAAATAAAAATTATGGAGCCATATTATGATCAGTGTGGGGATTTGTAAATATTATGGTAATTTTAACAGTTAAATTCATTAGTCGATCTAAGCTAAATCACTATTGAAAACCTGGAAGCTAGTATGGGACTCCTCAAAAGTATGCATCCACGATCCCACATACGGGAATCGAACCTAAGACCTTCGTTTTCGCGCGCGAACACTTAACCTCTAGATCACTGAGCTATGATCCAACGGTGTTAACGTCTACCTTCGATCGATTCATGATCTTGTGCCGTCCAATGCTCCCAGGTTTTCAATGGTGGTCTAGCTCAGATCAACTCATGAATTCAACTATCAAAATTACATTACTTGTAAGCACGTGATTGGAATTTACCAACCGAAACTGTTTAAATTCATTCGGTTATGTGCTTGTTTTTCAAAAATAATTTTCATCACTAAACGATATCAGTTGCAGAATTTTTACAAACAAGAAAAAATTAGACGCTGTACTAATGAAAATTATTTTCATAGTTGAAATCATGAGTCAATTGAATCTAAACCACCATAGAAAACCTGGAAGCACTGGACGGCCGTTTCTTCCTATTTTGGGACTCCTCAGCAGTGTGCATGCACGATCCCGCACTCGCGATATTCGAACCCAGGACGAAACGGCCGTCCAGTGCTTTCAGGTTTTCTATGGTGGTCTAGATTCAATTGACTCATGATCTCAACTATATGAAATTACTTAAACAACAACTGAAAAGTACTAAGCATTAAGTAACTGTTTCATCCTATCAAAGGGGCTCTTTAGCAGTGTGTATCTATGAGTCCGCACCTGGAATATCCACAACTTTATCCTGATAAAAGTTAATTGATTGGTGTTTAAAGAAAAATGATATTGGATTAGTACATTTATTGTTTCCTAAATTTCTTTGAATAATCAAGACAATATCCATGAATGGTATGTTGTATGAATTCTTTTTTCATTATCAAATTCACTAGATAAACAAAGATTATTCAATCAGTCAATCAGTAATCTGTCATATATAGTCTAGCACATATGTGTATCTGTTTAATCTGCCATTCAATATCAACATAATAAAATGATATTATCAACACAAATTTCACCGTAGTTGAAGTAGTGACATTATCAGCTCTAGTAGAAAAGATTTGGCATGAACAACATGATTAAATAAGAATAAATGAATTCATAGAATATACAAGTATCTAAAGACAAGTAGTGAAGATATATATATATAGTTTATGTTACTTGTATATATAACACCAGTCAGAAGTGAAATGCCTGTCAACAGAAGCTTGGGAAGATGTAAGAGGAAAGAACCGGAACAGTGATTAATTGTTATGGCAATAAAGGAACGATAAAGTTTGAGACAATTGATGAAGGATTTGTAAATGAAGTAATGAACGTATGGTTTTCGCATATGATGAAAGAACTCTGTAATTAAGTACTAAAATACGATTGGTCGTTCCCACTTGTGTTCTCGTTCACTACATACATGTCTCTGAAGACGATTCTAAGCTATGTTATCCGGTCTTTAACCTATAGTCACAATAATCTTTCGGAACCCTAATCAAGTAACCCGAATATACTAACACGGTCATTTCTAATAGTCAATAACTTCAGAGACTGATTCTACGTCTTGACTTGACCACCCTTATCTTTCCTCCAACGCACTCCTAAACCAACAAATATTACCCATGGCGGTAATAAATGGTTGAACATGCCTAATGCAGAGATTTTATAGGAATATTCAAATGTTCTTGTTTAATTAGAATGTACTTTAATGTCAGAAATGTTTGATATACACAGTGATAACATTTGATGAATTCAATAAACAACATTGAACACTACATTCTTAATATACTAACAAAGAATCGACTAAAATTAGTTGAAGAGATTATCACAATACAATATTTGGTTTGATAGACTGACTTAATTTTACCACACAAATATATACCAATCACATGTCTAGACAAGCTAATTGGACCACCATGGGAAACTTGGAAGCACTGGACGCCCGTTTCGTCCTATTGTGGGACTACTCAGCAATGCAAATCTGCAGTCCCACCTAGAGAGATTAGATCCCAGGATCTATAGGTCTGGCGCGCGAGCGCTTAACCGTTAGATCACTGAGCCGGTATCCGATGGTGTTCATTTCTGACTTCAACCAATCCACGAAATTGAGCAACCGTCAAGAGGCGGGATCGTGGATGCGCACAGCTGAGGAATACCACAATAGAACGAAATGGCCGTCCAGAGCTTCCGGGTTTTCGATTTTAGTCTAGCTTCAATTGACTCATGATCTCAACTATATGAAAATACTGAAATCTCCTCCAAATCCCCTTCTGATTTAATTTTAAAAAACAAAATTCATTTAATTTGTTTAAAATTAAAAATAACCTATTTATTCATTTTAAAATGTAAATTATAATTTAATTAATAATAAAATTCTTACTATTTGGGGTGTTTACTTATAAACATTTTCATTTGCAATTCATCACCCGTCTCTCCACTCCCACCCCACCCCACCTCACCCCCCTATACACTTGAATTTCTGTCAACAACACTAATATGGTATGAAATTTTTGATTTGTAGAATTTTTTCAATTTTTCTTTATTATGACAGTTAAGGGGGGGGGTGGCTATCAGGTTAGTAATAATTAAATAGATTTTTCCTATGACACGTATACAATAATTGTAATATTAATAATACATATCTAATTGTAATGATGTGTATAATGATAAGAGATACATTGAAACTTGAAAAAAAAAGTAAACTATATGACATTTATAAGCAAAGACAGTGGATAGTGGTTAGCATCTTTGCTTATAATGCTTGTGAGTTAAGACAATATTGAGGCAATACGCACAGTATGCAAATATGCCAATAAGAGACTGACCAGTTGCAGTCCTAACACATCAATGGGAAGATTCAAACAAACAATACTAAGTGTATATTGACAATTATATTATATAGGAAGATATAAGATGAAGGTAAGGGGTGAAATTATGATTCAAAAAATATAAGTCATCTATTTGATATACAGATCAACATGTACAAACTAGTGATAATTAGATTAGATGAAGAAATCAAAATAATATACATTGTGATCACATAGTGAGACATCAACGTTATCTTTATCTATAACTGATCAATAACATGTTATGTAATCTAATAATAATAATAATAATAATTTTTTCTGGTTAGCGTTTTTTTAACGAGTTGGGGAAGACGACCAGAGTAGCAGCAGTCTCAGCAGTAGTAGGTCACAATATAAACAAAGGGAAAAGCAAAACTCTGCGATACAATACAATATGCACCAATCGAATTATACTTGACGGAGAAGCTTTGGAGGATGTGGAAACCTTTACATATCTGGGCAGCATCATTGATGAACACGGTGGATCAGATGCAGATGTGAGGGCGAGGATCGGTAAAGCAAGAGCAACATATTTACAACTGAAGAAGATCGGGGACTCAAAACAATTGTCAACCAACACCAAGATCAGAATTTCCAATACAAATGTCAACACGGTTATACTGTATGGGGCGGAGACGTGGAAAACTACGAAAGCCATCATCCAGAAGATACAAGTGTTTATTAACAGTTGTCTACGCAAAATACTTCGGATCCGTCGGCCAGAAACTATCAGCAACATTCTACTGTGGGAGACAACAAACCAGATTCCAGTGGAGGAAGAAATCAGGAAAAAGCACTAGAAGTGGATAGGACACATATTGAGGAAAGCAACCAGCTGCGTCACAAGACAAGCCCTCACGTGGAATCCTGAAGACCAAAGGAGAAGAGGAAGACCAAAGAACACATTACGCTGAGAAATGGAGACAGACATGAGAAGAATGAACTAGAAAGGAAGGCCCATAACAGAGTGTGTTGAAGAATGCTGGTCGGTGGCCTATGCTCTATTGCGGGGTAACAGGCGTTAGTAAGTAATGGTACCCTGGTATTGACGAATAGCCTAGGCTTGTATTAAAAATCTTAAAAAATACCAGTGTGAGAACCATAATAACCAAGCGTGTTTTGCACATATGTCACTGTTTTTATA